CGCCGACCAAAGGCCGTCGTAGTTTTGTTATTCCAACGCCAATATACGGTGTGCACGTTCCCGACACCATGCTCCTTTTCTCCATTTCCATGCATACATGCTTCATGCGCTGCGAGACGACCACGCTACGTACAACAACTAGACTCGGACCATCTCATCGTCGCGTACCCATCCTCACAGACATCTCCAGCTCTCAGTACTACCTTTATATCGCCTTTGTAACAGACTGTTACTGTCACTGACCGTTACCGAGTGTCACTGACCGTTACTGACTGTCACTGACCGTCACCGACTGTTACCGACCGTTATCGACCGTTATCGACCGTCCTCGACCGCCGCCACCCATCGTCGCCTCCTCCTCGCAGACTACTCACCACACGACCACACCGCCAGCTCCTCGCCACGCTTGAGCCCGCCCCATGTTCTCCGAGACTATCAGTTTGAACTGTGCATGCCAATTCGGCGCGAGACAGGTCCACTCAAGACAATACACGGAGGAGGCAAAAGACAAGGAGGCGAAGTGAGCCTGAACATGAAGGCTCAAAATACGAACGTACGCCCTTGCCCGATGTGTTTACTATTCACTGTCTCCTTTGACAGTGCCCAAGCAAGTGAGCCGCTGACGGACTTTTTCTCGCCCGCCCGCCATCCTGCCCGCCAATTGCCTTGCTCTCTGACTCGCTTGCCTACCGGTTGTCTCCTGTTTCATACGCCCATCTGCGCATCTGTGCGCCCGCTCGTCCATTCGCCCGTCTGCGCATTGGTCCGTCGACTCGTACGCCACCGTTCTGTTCGCTCGGCCCTTCCTCGCTCATCTACCAACTCTCAGCCCTCTGCGCCCTGGCAAAGAGATCTCCCTACTCACATAGAATGGTCAATGGCGCGTCGCCACGCAGAGGAACAAACTCCCGTGGGGAAGGAGCATAGCCATGAGCAGATGGGCGGAGGTCTACGACGCGGAGATAGCAGGCGTATCGTGGGCGACCCGCGAAGTCGAGGAGTACTATCAGTGGCCCTGCAATGCAATCGCGACAGTAATGCAATTACTCAACTCCCGCTTCATCCGTCCCGCCAAATATTCTGGGATTTTCGTACAATGTTCTTTACTTCGTGCTCAATGTTTGTGTACAGTTTGATGAATTGAATGTGTAGCACATTCGAGGAGAGAAATCGGTGAATGCCTTCCGCGCCTCAAAATGGCACTGGTGCAATCTCGGCTGACCGCATCTCTTGGGCGCTTCGCCTGTGGGTCTCAAAAGTGCATTGAATTTCCATCTAGTATGCTCCTCATATTTTTCCGAAGCCTTCCGTCTCTTGTTGCGACTTCTGAGAAGGAAAGACGTCTGAGAGGTGGTCAGAGCGTGACGGAAAGCCACCCAAGATCAGCAATCTCAACTCCGCTCCTTATCAATTACCATATACGGTTACGATCGCAGCAGTTGCACTACTGTTGCTCGACCGCTGGACAAGGCATTGCAGGCATTGATAGCCATGCCACCCTAAACTTGACAGGCGGAGAGCTGTTAATCACTGAAGTACACTTGAACTTGTGAACGGGGGAAAAATTGGTGTTTAGTATCTCCAGAAGAGTCGAAGTAGTCGACTCATTATATTTATGGCTTCTCAACATTATGGCTTTCGATACTGTAAGGGATGCCAGTCCTATGAGAAGTAATATAGATACGTCCACGGCATCTCCGGAAACTAAACAGGGTGTTTGGGATAGCACAAGGTGGCATGAACACATTGGTTGCATTGCTGTATCGCCGTGCAGCCACAATAGCCACAGTCGGCAACCCACGGCAATACTCGGCAGCGTGACAGGAGCTGTGACGAGCCTCGGAGAAGAGTTGCATTACTGTTCCAATCCTTGCTCCCTCTCGGCATCCCCCTCATACTCCTGTACAAGGCCTGTAAAATCATACAGCATATCTTCAGACCTCAGGAATCCGTCAATGCAAACTCCGAGAGCTTCCGGTGAGTGGGTCGGCCTGCAGAGAGGAAAAAACGCGAAAGTTGCACTTCTGGTACAGTGATAGTACCTGAAGAAGACGAAGTGTGATCCATCCGCATATCCACTTCTATGCCGACGACACCACCGCCATCTCAGCAATACTCGAGGCAAATCAGGCTCCTCACAGGGCTCTCGCGTATCTTCAGAGCATTCGCCATCGATTCCTGGAGGCGAGCCCCGAGCACAGAATCACGGGTAGCCTGGACACTAGGCCACAAGGGCGCTCCTGTAAGTGCCGTAAGTGCACAGTGCATTCCTACAAAGCCCCTTCTAACGACGCACGCAGATGACCGCAGTGACCGTGTACAACGTGCTCATGGGCTCCGAGTCCGCTCAGAGCGGTGACACAGTCCTCGGCATCGGCACCGGCACATCTTCCTCTTCGGCCTCCAGATTGCCGTCGCCAGCAGTACGACTGTCATCGCGACTTCGTCGTCCAACATCAGCTCGCTGTCGTGCAGAAGCTCGAACGGGCGTCGGTGGCTGTATCATGAGTGCTGCCCCCGCTCGCTCTCTGTGCTGATCGTCGGACCATGCGATCTCACCGCCTGCGCCTGGCAGAGGGCTACGTCATCATAGCGCTCAACGGTATGCTCTCCCCTAGAGGAGGACAGTCCAGGTTAGGCATCGCAAAAGATGTCCCTCGCGCCCGGCTTTCTCGCGTACACCCCGACGCTCATTGTCGCATCCCTCGTCACCATATTCCGAGTCTCAACTCCTTGGTGCGTTCTCCCTTCATGTCGATGTTACGATGCAATGCATCCTGATGCCGAGACTACATGGGACGAAGAGTCCGTCGTGGTCCACGGCTGAGTCCGTCGCGGCGATCGTCACCAGCGTGTAAGGTGCGTGCAATGAAACTCGCGTCGCGGCTCGGTCACCGCGCAGTTCAATACTGATTCATGTCGACGTGTAGTTCCGCTCTTCTCTGACGCGGCGCACAGTCACCGAAGTAATTTACCTTAACAAGGCGCTGGCGCTCTTGGATACGGGTGTCTCCGCGTCCGACAGGAGGCTTGTTGTGGTGCGTTGTCTCTTCGCATCTATGAGCGTATTCTTTCCTCGCGAACCCTTCGGCCCCTTCACAGATGCTGACCCCACCAACACCAACATACTACGTGATATGTGCGTCCAATCCGGTCGCCCTCCTGGCGGACCGCTGCGCGCTCGTACTGACGCATATCTCTTTTTCGCGTCTCCCTTTTTCGCGCGCAGTCACGTTCTTGATGTTGACACGATCGTGCTCTCCCCTCAGGGCGACGCAGATCGTCACCCTCGTGGTAGGTTTCATCCTCATCTACTTCGAGAGCACGATCCTTCAGCTCTCGAAGATTGACCAGACGGAGCTCACGGTGCTCGACGGCCGCTGGACCATCCTCCTGAGGGACACAGAGGGCCCTGTCTGTCGGGTTCTGCGGTATTTATCGACATCCAAACCTGCGTCGGCACGCACAACACCGATGGTCCTAGGCTGACAGTGGCATTCGTAGCATCTGACATCTCGTTATATCACTCGTAGCGATCATCGGGAAAGGGAGGCTCATCATCACTGCGCCGAGCGCCTTGCATTGCGTCCGACTGATTCCGGAACGACTCTGGCACCGGTGCAATACTCCGAAACACGGACGCGCATGAGTTATGCACTGCGTTAACGAGTTCAAATGTGTCGTCTGCTAACGCTCCGCGAGTGCCAAACTCGCATAGGTACGCTTCGTCATTCAGCGAAAGGAACGGACCGTTGGTATAGTCAGTCACTTGCTCGCCCATATATGCGTTCGGTTGCTCATGGTCACCTATGCGCGTGCAGATGCTCGTGTTACCACTCACACTTACTCGCGCGCGCACATTCTCCGAGGTTCGCACATTTATTGACATGTGCGCTCGCTCACTCACACTCCCCTGTTTCTTTTTGTTAGGTCGGCGCAGATGCTCGTTGTGGCGGGAAAGCGTTCCGGTGCGCGCCCTTTGGCATTTATGCGGGGACACACGGGCGGGCGAGAAGATAGAACGTCCGTCCGCTTCTTCGTTCGATACTTATTGGAAGGCTCCTCGCGATCCGCCATGCCCCTGCTGCCCTTCAAGGTCGTCGCGCTAATCACTATGGGGGTCGTCTTAAAGTACTGCTCGTATCGACAATGCGCGTCTCGATCTCATTGCCTGACAGTCAGGCATTCCTTGAGTCCCAGAAATATATTTGTTACCTCATGTCGACACTGTCCTGACGAATGTCCGAATGATACTACTCGCCAGGCGCTGTCGGCGTCTTGGCGATGACAGCGCTCACTAACTACAACACCACAACCCACTGGCATACCACCACGTATTACGACAACACTCTACTATTTAATACCTCCTCCTCCTCCTAATGCCCCCACCCGTCCCCCTTCTCATCTTCTGAGGTGAGAACATCAACAGCGACAAACAAGTGTGAAGGCGCCCGGCGGCATTTTCGACTTGGGAGAGCCTTGCTCTATGGATCCGCGAGCAAAGGACTGTCTTATGCTCCGTGTTCTCTCCCCCAATCCATTCTACGAACGACGCATCTGAGTTTGAGTTGAACGACTGGTTACGAGCCTGCCGACCCGCCGGCGTAAGTACTATTTTCGTTGTGCGCTCCGTCGTTCTCTCAGTCATAATGCAAACCCCAAGGCACCTCGGTCTCTGGATGTTGAACGCCCCGCGCGTCAACAGCTGCATAATGCAACACCAGTGGCATTCCGCGCATCCATTGTGAGGAATGGTACTTAATCTGGCCCTCTCCGAGCTCAGACCGCACCGCACGCATCCTCACCATGCCACCGAGCCACCGTATTCCTCGCTGTACGCCACTCCTTATAACTCAGAATGGGCGTTTGGTGTGAGATTCTGGTTCGCCCTCTGATTATCTGCTCATTTAAATATATCTGCATAGGGAGTGTAACATCATATTCTCTGCGACGGTACAGCTTTGCCGGTCTGCGAACCGTCCTGATCGGTTTCAAGAGCACGATCCAGGCACCGCCATGCTCATTGTTGAGCTGCCAGAGCCAGTGATGTGTAAGTCGCCTTTGGAACGCTAATCGAGCACTGCAACTCAGATATCTCAGTTGCCATACTCCTGACATACATTGACGGCGCCACTGGAGAAACGATATTCATGGAGTCTCTGATTACAGAACGCTTGAATATCGTCATCAAGAGGTAAGCCTTACGTTGAGTTCGAGTAGAACATGCATGAAACCCATCATTCAGCAAGACAAGTCAATCTATTGGAAGGCCACCATTCCTGCTCTCCGCTGCTACCATGTTGTCCTAGAGGACAAGCTCGACTTCTGGGATGCCGTAGGATGCTTGCAACGCTGCAAATCGGACGTGCAACGTAGTCGAGCCGCGGCGCTGGGACAGATGAAGGCCCTCGAACAGTTGCTACCTGTACTCAACGTACCGCTAGGTGAAGTGCTCCCACGCGATGAAGGCAAGCCATTGCGCAGTCCTGTTCTGGAAACCTGCTTCCTCTTTGTCTTTGGGTGCGTCTGGCGCATTCTCGAGGCGTTAACCCATGTATACAACACCTTACACTGCGGCTGGCAATGATGTCGCCAGGTAGAATAGTTTTGGCTTGTCAAGCCACCAGCATCAGCGAAAAGGGCGAATCAATATCGGGCCAGAGCTGACAAGGCGATGTAATACATGACTTACCCAATAAGGCAATGCTAGCGAGGGCCTGACATAGCCAGATATTCGCCTGCCAGGCAGACGAAAATTAAGCTGTAAGGTAGAAGTATGCATGGCCAGTCAATCATAGACAGCCGTAGCCATGTCATCACATGAGATGGTATGGCACGAACTGACCTGGTGTACCAGACGTGCGAGAGGATCCCGAGTCACTTAAGCACTGCTGTTTCCGAGCCTGTCACACTTACAGTCTCCGTACAAAGCTCATACCAGTGCTAATCAGCCATTGAATAGTGGTATTGAGTGAGTTAGGTACCAACAGTCATAGATGTGCAAAGCCAGTATGTGCATACTCATCATCATCGTCAACCTCCCCATCTTCTGGGCCAAGATCTCCGTCCTCGTCCTCGTCTTCGTCTTCCCACTCCAAGTCATTCTCTTCGTCTTCGTCACCATCGGGCAGTAGCCATAATCATGCTCCTCGTGGTCGTCATGGTCTCCGGCACCGTCCACACTCCCATCATCGTCCTCCGAGTCATGTCCTTCCTCATGCTGTGCAAAGGAGACATTGTCGTGTTCCTGCTCAGCAATCGTGTCAGTCTGATCCTCTGCCATGACCTCGTCAGGCTCAGCCTCCGATCTGAACAGCCCATCCCTATACTTTTGCGACACGGTCCCCTGGTGCCCGGGTGCCTCTCCCGGCAAGTAACGCATGACCATATCCCGGTCAACGAACCTGAGGTGAACAGTACATGAGCAATGCTGTAGATTAGAAGTGCAGAAAGTGAACTTGAACACGAATCCACCACTCACATGCCAACGTAGTAGTACATGTAATCCATGTCTTCCTCCTCGGGACGCCGAGCGCATGGCGACGGTGGTAATAAATCGCTTACTTGTCCGTATGCATAAGCTGGTATGATATGTGATGCCCGCAAGACTGACGTGGGATCGAGGAAGCCGAATGCGTAAGGATCATCATCTGGAACGAAGCCCAAGCGATGTAGGCGACGAGCCTTGAATCCCCCAGGTGCTGTAGGGTCTCGCCCATACCAGCGTACCCAGAGAACGTCCATCTTCTGACACTTGTCAGGCACAGATGGCTTCCCGAGGCGAGCCGCACATGGACATGGAACATGGCAAGGATTCGTGCATACCAGTAAGGGTGCTCGCCTGCGTCGTCATCATCTTCATGAGCAAGTAGCATGATATTCGGGTGAGTCCTCGGATTGATCGAATCTTGACCGCGCCGCATGTCGTAAGTGGTGTAGTTGACCCGGAGAACCTTGTGAAGGTACATGCGATCCTTCTCGATACTAAGGCGGCGGCGATCTGCTGGTGTAAAGACATCCTCGTCGCCATTGTATTCGCGGTTCAGTAGCCGTCCGAGTAAGTGATCCTTGAGGTGAGGGATGAAGTCCTGCATATCGGCATGAATACGAGTCGGACTCGAATCAACATGATTCTAAATCTACTACTCACCTTGGTCGCCGGATCGTCGCGATTCTTTGCCTGCCACATGGGAATGTTCTCCCAATAACGCTGCGAGTCTGACATCTGGTATCGACTGTCAGGCGGCGTGGGCGGCAGGAATTCGCTGTCAGTGAACGGGAGCACTGCGCCGCGGCGCCTGTCGGGGACTTCAAGTCGGGTCCTCGAACCTGGCCTTGCTGCCTGTTCCTCTTGCGCAGGCCGCCGGGCCTTGGGTGCAGACGACTGCGAGTGCTGCCCCCTAACTATATTGCGCTTCTTCTTGATCTGATGCAGAAGACGTTCGCGCCGCTGCCTTTTGCCGATTTGAGCTGCATAGTTGTTCTTGTTCGTGCGAGGGAAGAACCTCTTGATGCGACGATGTTCAAGCTCGCCCTGCGACGTTTCGAGTGAGTGCATATCAATACTGTCCTTTCAGTGGCTCACATGCTGTGTTGACGTTATGTCGGGTGTCCCGACTGCCCTGATCATATCAGGGTAGTCTCCCATGGCATGCCACTTGTAGGTGCACAGGCTGAACATGGCACGTCGAGCACCTCCCGCGGCCTTGCGAGACTGCACCAATACTGCAGCAGCCTTCTGTTTGCCTTTCGATCCAGCCTTAGCAGCTGCAGCAACCTGCCGACGACCTCGAGCGGCGACTTCGCGAGGAAGCTCTTTTGTGTCGAAAGCTGGACATGTGATCGTCTCGAACCTGCGCATTGCCTTGCCAAGAGCTTTGACAGACTCGTCGAAGAGGCTGAGGGTCCGTTCGGTATGCAGGCGAAGCTTCGCAAAAGCATGCCACTCTGCGAGAGCAAACAGAAGGTCGAGCACGATATCATCGTGAGGTGGAGGGAGCATGCCGTCAACGACAGGCATGATGCACTGCAAGTCAAACGGAGTGTTAGACGCTATCAATCTATCGTCATATAGCACATTTACCTGCAGGATGTCTTCGTACATACGCGCGGCCATCTGCTTGAGATCAGAAACATTGTTGCTGAAGCGCCGGATTGTATCGCAGCCATACGTTGGGATCTTACGAAATCTGGACAAGTAAGATGAGGGTGGTGATGCGATCAGGTGGAGAGAAGCTCACCTTCGGTTAAAAACCGAGAGACGACAAAGCAGATACAGAATGCGAAGTAAATGGATGAGAACAGCCTTCCATACTCCAAGCTCAAACTCGTGCATGACGTCGGGAACGAGAAGTCGGTAATGGTTGAAGCGCAGTGGCCGCGGCAGACTCTCTGAGAACCTTGAGAATGCGCTCTGCAAGTCTCAGTGAGTTTGGATAAATGACGTTGCAGCAGCGAGGACAACTCACTCGGATTGGGAGGAGTGAGCGTGGTCCAAGCACCTTATCTATGCGTTTGCTGCTCGCGCTGTACCCATCCTCAAAGATCCAGCTCCGCGTTGCATTGATGTCATATTGGATAGGCTCAGTGTCGACGCGGATATGGTTCCGCCGCTGCTTCATGTCCCTGCTCGTTCCCATCAGTCGTAAGTCGGATTTCTTGACGTAACAGCGCGGACACGGGCATTGAGCGAGATAGCGAGTACAAGCCAGAAGTATTCTAGTACTCACTCGCTGGTCAGTCAGCTAGGGAATCAGAATCGCAGCAGACGCACTTTTCCGGATAATCCGCAGAGTATGTGAAAAACCTCGGAAACAGGCGTCGGAGAATCTTGTCGCCACATTCCCACAGCAATCCTTCTTCGTATGCCTTCTTGAACTCGGGATCCATGAGAAGGGTCCAGATGGCATGCATGACTTCTCGCCGACAGAATCGCAAGGTGTTCTCTGTGGCAGGACTCCCGTGGACCTCTTCGTACCAGTCTTGGAAGGCATCAGGAAGCTACAACAGTGGCGGATTAGCATCGCGTGACTCCAGAACATGCCGAGAACTGAGCAAATTACCTTGGGTATGTAGGCCAAATGATGCGCAGAGAATGAGTTCGGCTTTGCACGCACATATTTGGATACGAAGCCGAAGAACGCATAGATAGGCCAGAGAGACGCAGATCCGAAGCTGGCAAGGTGAGTCGAGTCGGACCAGAGCATGATGGGTACCATGGCCACTTCAACGTCGGGCGGGTCATTGCAGTGCTCTCGAGCCCATGCACGGATCCGTGCATCCTCGTCAAGAGCCTCCTGAGAGTCACAAACATCGCTGTAAAGCCGGACCTTCTCCGTAAGCGGTCTCCCTTGCGCATCAGTCAAGGGATTGTCAACAGGGCGGTTCCAGAGGTACTCGTAGGGGATCCAGTTGTACGTCGTGGCATCAGGATCGCTCGCAGCCTCCTTCATAGTGTCGACGAGGGAGCGGATGTAGACATTGTCGATGACGAAGTGCGGAGCATCCGCCTCAGAAGAGTACTTGACGCGCTCCTTCGGCACTGGCACAGTAATTGCCACCCTGCGCCATCCGTCGACCGTCCGCAATGTTTCATCGGCAACATCTATCGCATCCAACCTTGCTGTCTCACGTGCAACCTTGAAGCCGCGCAGTTCTTCGATGTCGAATTCTTTATCCATGAGGACCTCGTCGACGAGGCGTTGGACCTCGGCATTCGACTTCAGATTTGAGCCTGTATGCGCCCACTCCATAAGGAGAAATGCGCTCGGGTTCAAGAACGGGAAGAACCAGTTGGAGCGAGCTGGTCTCAGCGATCCGGGCTTTGGTCGTGGAGCTGAGCGCACGCGCTGTACGATCGCGCGTCCAAACCCGCGAACAGATTGCCCAGCAGGTTGTGGTTGATGAGGAGCCCGTAAAGTATCATCACAGAGTTGTAGTATGCTAGCCTCGTCATCTGGTTCACGTCGTGGGCTTCGATAGTACTGTCGGTAGACTCCGAAGTGATTCGGTCTGGTCGCGAGAGCTTCAAGGTCTGCAAGAGGAGGAGGGCTGGGAGATGCAGCACGAGCCACGAGAGGAGTACTAGGAGCCGGGGTTGATGCAAGAGGATTTGGGAGGGGGTGCGAGGGCTCAGACGGATTGGTGGAAGTCGGGGCCTGTGCGAGTATATGCGCAGGAAGACCGCTTGTCGACGAGGGGAGATAATCTTGGAGTGCGCGAGGGACGCGCCTGACACGCCCTGAGCGGCTCACCAGGTTTCGAGGCGGAGATGGAGGAGGTGCTGCCACGGGAGGGTCCGCGGGTACATCGCCCGACGAGCCTTCGATGAACTCTGGCTCGAGCTCGGGCTCACGAACTTCTGCGCCATGAAACTTTAAGGAAGTCAGTAGACGAAGCATGACAGCAATAGACACTCACCTCATTAACCGTCTCCCTGATGTTCTGCCTCTCCTCAAGAACATGCTCTTCTATGCCCTTCCTCGCGACCTTCGAGCGGGGCTTGTTTTTGGAGACCATCGCCCGTTTGCGAAGGCCAGATGCACTAAGTTCCTTCAATTTTGAGCATCTTACGCGGTGATTCCCAATGGCGTTCGCAGCGAAGATTTTTCCGCAGCCAAAACAGGTCTCGGGCATTGCAAAGGAGGAGGGAGACGCGTCGAGAACGACTTCATCGGATTCGACGCGTCTGGCGTCTCAAGAGTCATGTGACCGCTAATCTTTGCGTCTGGCGACCCAGACGAGCGTCTCGAATCGTCTCCCACTCTTCCTGACTCTCCGTGACCTCTCCATCACCCCTCCGAATCGCTACCCGTCTTGACTCTTCAACAATCCGAACCCGGCGACAGTGGTTGTACCAAGGTTCTGAGGGAATATGGCGCATCAGAACGGAGAGTATGGGTACTCGAGAAACGAAGGTGCGTGCTGACGCGGTACTCCCTCGGGCAGCTGCTCACGCATTCTTTACTAGTCGACAGGCAGGCATCTCTCTGCACTGCAAGTCGCGTTTGACCCTCGGATTGCGGCCTCGGACATGTTACCCATACCCCTCCACACCCCTTTCTATGCACGGGGCTCGCACGCGCGCAGACCTCAAGGGTAGATTTGCGTTCGATGTTCGCGTTGGGGATAGGCCCGGGTGGTCGCATCCGCAGTCTACCCAAGAGTCCGCATGCTATCAGGAGCCCCTCTTGTGCCCTCACCCTCGCCATCTCGCGCCCGCCCGCCATCTTGCTGGCCCCCTCGCCAGTCGCCTCACGCGCTCGCCATCTCACTCTGCGCCTCCGCCATCGACACTGCGTACACTGCGAAAGGCCGGGAAGTCTAAGAAGCTTGCGAACCTGAACCAAACCGACGAGGTGGCGACGTCGCTTGCAGTGTTCTCGCTCAACGATGCCGACTACCCTCTCAGGCTTTCGCCGCGCTGTGTCTCTGCGCTCTAGTCCGACCACCAGTGTTGCGCACTCGATCGCTCGCTGCCTCGGACGCCTCATTCGCTCCTCCATAATCTGCGCGTCCTCCACCTCCACACCTGCCGTTTCAAAGCCGCGCCGCTCTCCCCTCCTTAGTCGACTTCTCTCACGCACAGCTTGACGAGCTAGTCGCGGACGCCCCGGTCCCCCTTGCGTGCGCCGTATGCCGGGTCGAGCTTCAGTTCAACGCGTTTCTACGGCACCACGCGCTCGCAATGCTCGAACGCATGGACCCGGTCGTCTCTTCGTGCCACGCAGGGTGGAGTCTGCCATCGAGGAGCGTCGCGCAGCTCTTGCCGAGCCTGCGGTTCCTCGAACTGCATGTGAAGTGGCGGATTGCTGGCGGCGTCCCGGACACGCCGTGCGAGGCGTGGTGCCCGTGCACGACGCCAATCCGGATCGGCGCGTGCGCCACCGCCGCCGCCAGCGGGAAGTTGCTCTGCGCACCGTGACCCCGTGAGCGCCCACTGAAAGCCCGGAAGGGGGAAGCGAATGCACCTTGTCGTGGTCGCCGCGGACGACGTGCACGTCGGGCGCGACGCTGCGGGGGTACTCGAAGGGCTCGCGGTCGCAGACGTTGCCCGTGCAGAGGATCTGCTGGATCTTGCCGGGCACGAGGACCTTCTTGAACTTGGCGGGGAGGTTGTGCAGAACCCGCCATACGCGCGCCACTCCCAGCGCAGCTCTATGCACTACCTCAAGTCGATGCGCTCCCTCCAGTCCCTCCGCCCGGCGCTTGCGGGCTATGGACTCGGACGACTTCCCAGGCGACGCCTCCGCGCTGTGCAATGGCACCGCCGACCTGAGCGACGACGGTGAGAATCACTACGGGCCGCTGGTTCTGGCGGTCGCACCGAAGGTACGCGCGAAGACGCTCCTCCCAGAGGCGCGTGACGAACAGCTCGGACTGCGTTGACTGGGTTGCGCAGGAAGGCAAGGTGCGTTCATGGCGCAGTGGTCTGGTAGTGAGGACTTATCTGACACGGACATCTCCAGGCGAACACGCTGCTAGCGGACCACCTCTTCTCGCCCTCGCCCCTCCTCGCATAGCGCGAGTTCATCCCGCTCGACGGCACGACCAGTATGCGCATCTTCCCATGTCCACACGCACTCGTTCGCGCCATGACGGGATGCCCCAGTCGTCGAGCTAGGTGCCGGATGCGTGCTACCATCCCTCCTCTCGTGCACTTTTGCAAAGCCGCCCGCTTTGGTCATGATCACAGACTACCTTGACGAGACCATCCTCGGGAACCTCAAACAGAACGTCGGGAGGAACGCGTGCCACGTCGCGCCCGGGTGCACCGTGCACTGCCGGGGCTACGAATGGGGCCATGATCCCAGCCCGTTACTGTATGTGCATCGCTCTATTCTACCCGCCTCCCAGCTGCCCGCGCGCTCAAGCAGGCCCACGTCCTGCGTTCGTCCGAGGACACCTGTGGTCACCTCACTGGCTCCGTCCTCCAGCTCGCTGCCGTCGATCTTGCCCTCGAGCTTACTGCAGACGCGCTCCGCATCCTGCTCGGACTCGACATCTGCCGCCCACCCTGCCCTCTCGCACTTTCGCTTTCCCTCTCGCGCCCACTCGCTCTCCCTGACCTGCCCGTCTCGCCCGCCCGCATGCTCGCCCGTACTTTTCAGCACTGGCTGAGGACGCAGTCACCGCGAAGCGCCAGTCACATATGTGACACTCTGTGACTACCGCCTCACTTAAGATGTGCGCTGCTCCAGAGCTCGCACAAATAACGTGAGGCTTCCGAAAATTTGTGTACGTACCCTTGAGATATTCACAATCTACCTGGTATGCTTATTTTGCCTTACAAAATGATGCCCCTGTCTGAGGAGCCCTGCTGAACACGGTGTTCTGCAGTTGAACTGAATAAGGCAAGTCCGGTGCAAGTGGCGCAGAGTGGCGCTTGACAGCTGAGTCTGAATTCAGGTATAAAGCAGGCGCCCGCGATCACCGAGGCACCGATCAAGGCTTAATCTCGAACCGCCATCTCCCCGCTTCCTAGATCTCGCTAAACCCAGAATGGCTCCCTTCTCCGCCTCCCGCACCGGCGCTAAGCGCACCGCTGCCCTCCCGCTGACCACTTCCAGAAGCGACCGAGAGTCGTCCGCGACGACGACTACGATGATAGGTCGTCTGACTCCTCTGGCTTCCATGGACGTGATGGCCAACACGACTCACGGAATGGCCGCGACACTGTCCGTGTGCGTGACCCACGCGACAAAGAAGACAATACCCGATATGGAAGGGACCCCAGAAGCGGGCACGATGCCGAGTACAGTCGTGGCGACTCTGGGAACGGTAATGTGTGTCTTAAAGCCAGCATATAGTGTGCATATATGTATGTTACTCATGCATCTACATCTTAGGGCACCGAGCCCGAGGACGAGGACGATGTCGAGTCCTTGATCATGACTGACCGCTCCCCTCTCGGGAAGCTTATTCGCGCGATGCGAGCGACCGAGCACACTGATCAAGAAAAGTAAGCTTCTCTGGCTTGTGACTGTGTCGTCAAGGGGCTAACGTCATACAGACTTATTCTCAAGCCCTGGAAGAAGGCCGCGCGTTTCATTCCGCGCTGCATGGGACCCTTCATCAACCTCAACAACGTGATTCTGTGCGGAATTCACTTCGGCGGGCTCATGCCTGAGGAATGGGACCTCACCGATTTCAAGAGCCTGTAAGCTGCCACCCAGCACCCTTCTCGAACCTATACTAACGCATACACTCACGAAACCATTGTATATGTGTTGCTATATGCGCATATATGTGGTGCATCAGCGATGTCAAGGAGATACCGAGGCACATCGAGTATTACGAGAGCCTTCTCAACCTGATCCCGCAGCTGGAGGAGGTGCTTCAGCAGGCTCAGGGAAACCGGGAGATCGTCGGCGTCATTTCTCACTTCGTGAGTGTCAAGCAGAGTGCCCTTTTATCATTGCTAACATCAAGATTGAGTTCGAGAAACACCTGAAACAGGCTCGCTCGGACGACAGCACGAAAGTCAAGAATAGTGTTCTCACATTCATCCCGAAGAACCTCGACAATGTTCCGAACATCGAACAAGACCACGAGAAGCACCAACGCGGCTTCCGCCACCTCGCCACTGGGCGTCTGCTCACTCCGGCAGCGATTCAATGGAAGTTCAACGCAGACCCGCAGAGGTAAGCTGGATATCTGACATCAATCCAAAGGCGTGGTAACATCCTCGTACAGCTTCTGTGACAGCACCCTTGAGGGGTCTGTACAGGTGACTGCTGATCATTTCCCGCGCTCGTGTACTGCGAAGAAGGTTACTTCGCCGACAACCCGGAAGCTGGCTTGCTGAAGGCGCCGCTCATCTCTGCGGTGAGTGCTATTTTAAGGTCCTATCTGCATAGCCTTCACACGTTCAATCACCAGGTATATCGTGCGATCATGACAGGGCCCAAGACTGGCAAGGCCCCACTCGCTCACTTCTCCTCCACTTCGCGGTCAGGCCCTGGGAGAAAGTCCCTCGCGAAGGAGTACGGGATCACCGCCTGTGTTCCGGAAACCATCGCCTATGCGACGACCCTGGTAAGTACCTCCCGACTGCTCACAGGTGTTGCATCTACACAACCTGTCGCAGACTCGCTTCGGTCTTGATGCCCAAGTTGAGTGGTGCGAGAACGATGCCGAGTTCGTTTATCAGAAGTTCTACTTCAACATCCTCGGCATGTTCGAAGACCCTGAATGGGCAGAAGATGTCCTCGAGTGGTACAACACGTATGTCGTGATTCATGTGCATACTGCATGTACCTCATTCTGACTTATTGAGCAGTGAAGTCTTCGGTCCCGGACATCGCGACGAGAGAGGTCGTGTGTCTGCAGGTCCGTCCACTATGGAGCTGATTGCTGCGAGGCGCCGGGCGAAGACGACGGCGCACACAGCTGCACAGCCCAGGCACAACTCGGATGAACCGAACGAATCGGAGCCATCTGCCAGTGAGAGTGCTGTGCCTGCTGATGCGGGAGATCAGCCTTCGGGTGCTACAGGTGATTCCGGGAGTGGCGGAAATGCGGGCAATGGGCAGGGCGACGGGCAGGGCGACGGGTCCGGAAGTCTCGGTGATGGTGAGGGGCCCGGGTCTAGTTCGAGCGATGGTGATTCCTGAGTGGATCGTGCTGGTGAGTTCAACTTTAATGGAGGATATCAGACTCATTTTATGACTAGTAGGCCCGGTCATCTCGCAACCCCTTCTCGCTGCAATGCTCAATCGTCCTGACCGCCTTTCGCTTGGCAACCACGCCAACTCGCCCGCATTTGTGTCAAGTTCATCGGAAAGTGCTTTCTATTTCTTTTCTTCGTGTGCATGTGTACGAGTGTGCTGTGCTGTACAGTGTGTCGGATGTCGTCTGCTCCCATGTGTTCGGTTCGTAAATGAATGAAATTGCTGTTATCTATTATTTCGGGCGACGACGATGCCACTCTTTCTGTCTCAACTGCCCTCGGCTTCCTGGTCTCGTCATCCTGGCACATCGTTTATCTGATGACACGAGCCTTTTGTCTTAGAAGGTATTGCCAGCTAACTGATGGGCCGATATGGTCCCTTCCATGACACAGATGATGTCTCGACCGGGAGGCGATGTGCCGTGCCTGCACCTTGCCCATTGCAGGTGTCGTCATCAAGAAGCTTTGCCACCTGACAGGTAAGCCAATACCTCGTCAGATTGTTGCTGCTATTGATGTACAAACCCTAGCAGGTACACGCTCAACACAGCTCGTTCATTTTCTGCCCGATCAGGACATATCGAGGTAGGCGACCTATCTACAGCCAGCTATGCTGGGGACCTTTTCACTGATGAGAGTGGACGAGCGTCGGATACTGTCAATCTATGCGATACATTCTATGTCAACTCATAAGTTCACGGATAGGGGAAAATGAATCGGCTGTGAGGGTTCTTCAATAATGCGTAGCAGAGTGCTGCTGTCCCCGTAGGGAATCGACCCTGGTAAGGTATCTGCAGTCTGTTTAGGGTCCAGCGTCGCGAGCCCGCGTCGACGGTGGGCGCTCCGGGCGCTGCTCTCGAAGTACTGCCACCACCATCGACTCGGTGACCACGACCGCGACCCGGGCAGCCACCACGACCGCCCGATCTCTCGTCAAGACGCTCGCGCTGTCCCAACGGACAGGCGAGCTCCAGTCCACGACCACTAGCTGAACTGCCGCCAGTTCAGCTAGGGGTGCCCGACAATCCTGCGCGCAGTACAAGACCGCAACTTCCTTTCTCTCCCGAGCCTCATATTCCACCCTGGACCTCTCCGTCCGACTCTACCACTTCCTCTCTCGAGTCTGGCGACCTCTACCCGAACTCCTGCGGCTCTGGCAACACGCAACAAGGGCGCACGGCCCAGGACTCGCACGACGCGCGTGCAAGTCCAGCGCCGAGCAACACAACCGCGCGGAACGCAGAGAACCCGAGGAGAGGGAAGCAGAAGGAGGAAGGGGAGAAGGGGAGGAAGAGAGAGGAGGGGGAAGGGCGCGAGGCGAGCAGTAGAAACAAGCACGAAGGCTCGACAGCCACAGGTACGCCCTCGCCGGACGTTCCTGCTTCGCCGCTTCCGCTCTCAGTGCCCGTGCCAGCAGGCGTATCGACGTACGAGAAGTCCGTCGTGCGCCCTGCTGGCCACGAAGACGGCACGCCCGACTCTCGAGGCGACTTCTACGTCGTACCCATCACTTTGCACGGCAACACGGCGGACGCACAGAGCTGCGCATCCGACGTACCCGTTTATCGATACTGCCCGCGCCAGCAGGTGCGCCAACGGGCAAGAAGCCCGTGGTGTGCTCTGCTCGCCACAAATACGGCGTCTCCGTCTTCCGGGACGACCCCATGGTCGTACCCGACGTTCCGCAGGGCAACGCGTCGGACATGCATTGCCGCATGTCTAACGTGCCTCATCCTTCTACGAGCCACCAAACAGAGGGTACGTTGAGCATCTCGCTCGATGTACACGCTGTCGACGAAAACAACGCCGCGCCCGGTGTACTTGCAATCGTACCCGGCGCGCTGCACCTCACGACCGTGCACCCGGTACGCATGTCATCGGCTCCAGTGCCGGAGTCGGGAAGTAGTACGACGGGCAACATGGTCGTCGTGCACTTCTCTGACTTCAATGTCTGCACACTGGACCTGAACAGCAGCACGGCCATCGTGTCTGTTGCCCACACTTCGCAAGACGGCACGTCCGGAGAGCCTCACTCTATCACCTTACGGTCGCACACTGTGGATACGTCGAGTACTTCAGGCAGCAATAGTGCCGTGTCGGACGCTACCAAGGGCATGTCCGACACGTCCACCGCCAAAGATATGCCCAGCGACGCGGTCGGCACGCGATCAAGCACGCTCGGCGCGTTCGTTTCCACCGTCAAGACACGACCGTCGCAAACGCCGAGCCCCTTGCTCAGCATATATGACACGATCCCCACCTCGGAGACCTTGCCCTGCAACGCGATCGGTGCGCAATCGAGCACGACCGGTGCGCCCACACCTACGGTCAAGACGTACCCGTCGAGCATGGCGAGCACCTCGCTCACCGTACACGGTGAGCCCAACACCTGCGATGACATCGCGATCGACGTACTCCTGAGCACGTCGATCGACGCATCCGCATTGACAGCTGCCACCGGTTCGACGACATAAAAGGCAGGCTCGTCCACACTCAAGCACTTACCCTCGAAGCATCACCGTCGCGTACGTCGAGCCCGTTGCTCAACGTATCCGACGAGATCAACACTTGCGATCAGGCCGTAGTCGACGCGCTCAAACGCTCGTCGACCACGCCCACTCCGATAAGGCCCTGGTCAAGGCTCCGTCAAGCGACGCAGTTAGCGCGCGACTGAGCACGACTGGCGCGTCCTTCTCTATCAAGATGCTGTCATCGAGCAGAGCCAGCCCTTCGCTCACTGCATACGGCGAATCCGACACCGGTGACAACGCTGCGATCAACGCGCTAAGCTTGTCGATCAGCTCGTCGACATCGCGGCCTGCACCAGCGTCGACCACCTCTACGTCAACGGGATGCAAGGCTCCGGATTCGACACTGGCCGTGTCGTCCAGGCTCAAGAACTCGGCCGTGATGGATGAGAGCCCGACGAAGGACAGTACATCCAACTTGAAGGATGTACCAACTTTGTCAGCATTGTCAACGAGTACTGTGACTCGCGCGCGAGACGAGCTGTCTCAGTCGAGCTCGTACGAGCGGTACAGGCCTCCCGTACTGTGTGATCAGGCCCCAGTCCGTGCACACCAGGAGTCAAGCTCACAGGCGCAGGAACCTTCGGCCGACAAGCAAGACCAAACCGGCCTGCGCCGAGTCGAAGGTGGATGACACATCCGCCTTGGACATACCGACATATTCTCGGCCGGAAAGCCGCCGCACGTACGAAGGGTTGACCTCGACGTGCGCGGTACATCCTCCATCAAGACGATGTCGCCAAGCATAGCGAGCTCGTCGACACCACTGCACAGGTCAGCTTCGACAATCCGCGAGCACGACGGCGTGAAGAACACAGTACACCCACTCTGTTGGATGTACTGCCATCTTCACGGTCGCCAGTCTCGTCGAAGACTAGGAAGCCGGGCATGTCGTCCAGCACAGGGACGAGCAAGTCTGTCCATCAGCTTTGATCGCGGAGACCTGCGTGGACGCAAGTCCAACCTCGACACATTTGCGTCGAATCCCTACACGTTGGGTACCCGCCGCACGTACGAGGAACAACCTCGCGTGCGCGCACGACCTTGACCGCCAAGACCACCAAGCGGGTCATCGAGTAATCGACGAGGCCCAGTACATCCGAGTCGCCGGATGTACTGACCTCATCGTACTCGATGGCTGAGCTGGAATTCAAGCGCCTGCGGCTCATCGTGTTACCAAGGGTATGACCATCTGCACGCGCCATAAGACGGGATGCAGGAGACCAAGCTCGAGGCCACTTACGAGGAGGTTGAGGGCGATGACTTCGACGGTGAGACTAGCGGTTTCGTGCGATCCCTCTGTGTCAAGGTCAAGATGGTTACCAGTGACTAGCTCGCCACCGCGAAGGAGACTGGCCGTCGTCTCGGTCTCGGCTACCACACGCGCCCAACTAAGGTACTCAAGGACGGTTCCGAGGTTGGTGGCAAGCATGCGTCGCTCGACGAGGTAGCTCTTGACGCCGACGGCTTTGCCGTTGTCTTCCCGAGCACAAGTACGAGATCGCCGAGCGCCTTTAGGTTCTCTCCACTTGGTCGCTATGACTGGGGACGGTGCTAACGACGCCCCGCCCAGCTGACGTCGGTATCGCGGTCGAGGGCGATAGCGACGACGCTGCCTGTTCGCTGCCGACATCGTCTTGTCGGAGCCTGGTCTTCCACTATGGTGGACGCCATCCGGGGATCGCGCGTCATCTTCCAAGGATGCGCAACTACTCGATCTGTGCCTGTGCCGTCACAATCCGTATCTCTGCTTCGCCATCCTCGCCATGTGCCACCATATTGGCACCCCACTTTGCGTAGCCCTCCCCTTGATCCATCCGAGCTCATGTCATGGGTTTGTTTGGGATAAGTTCTTTTTTCGGTAATAGCACGACAGAAGATGGGCTGAGGATACTGAAGATAACTTCCTTAGGCCAGAGTATCCGGCCTCTGCCCGTCCCTGTGTTAGTGTTCTTCCACGCGACAACTCAAAGTACGCTACGTGTGGTCACCCACCACCACCGTTCGTGGCCGCTCGTAAGCCTAGGATGAACAAGGATGCTTCAGCAGCGGGCCTATCTACATACCATCTTCTTTGAATCCCTTGCAATTGCTGTACTATATATTGTGCGCCCTTCATTCGGCTCCTGCTCGCGCCTGCTTAAGATTCAGTGCCAGGGTACACGTCACAACAGGGAATGTTGCGACACTGCGCCTGAGACGCTGGATGGACGGAGAAAGAGAAGACATAGAATAAGGGGTGCATACTACATGGTTGGTATCATCGACACTATGGCTGCGAGAAATCAAGAAGTAGATCTAGGCTACACTTGCACGCTCCTCCGTGGGAGCGAGTTTGCGCATCGCGCATGTAATGTGCAGAGCCACATAGATCACGTAGAGTATCCAGCAGGCTGCTCGAACGTCACGCCATGTCCACTCGTCGTCTGCGAAGGCGCCATACTCGAGGCAAGCCTCGTAGTTGCTAGAGACGACATCAAGGTCTTCAGCGATTTCCTCCTCAATGTAGGCATCGTCCTTGATGTCGGCATCGCTAGGAGCGTCGACACTGTTCTCTCGGAAACATCGGACAAACGCCCGAAGATCTTGAGTGTCACAGAGTTGTGCTTGGTACAAGTCGTGGGCATGGGACCAGCGTACTGTCAACGTCCGCTGTCGAGAACAGAAGTCAGAAGGCAGTCAGCTATGTACTGAGGAGACTTCACCTTTGAAACGATGGTTGCCGTGTTCTTTGACAGGACCATACACACAGGAGCAGCGGGTCCCGGGAGCGACGAGGACAGAATAGCATCTGAAAAGCCATTGTTAGACCTCTCTAGACCTGATTTTACGTTCATAACGAAAGACTCACACTTTCCGCAAGGGAGACGCACAATCAGCACAGTGGCACGCAGTGGCACTCCAGCGCCAGCATCGATTGCAGGATCGCCCTGGTCGAACTGAGGGGCGATCTTCCTATAGTCATCCGTCTCGCCTGCAAAGCAGATGATCACGTCGCTGTTGTGAAGCGAAGTACCGCTCAGTCCAGGACGTTGAGCTGCACCGACGATAATACTCACTTGGGGACTGGGGGACCCTGCGGGAGTGCAGCTAGACCATACTTGACGATAGCGAAGACAAGGACCAAGGAGAGCATCTTCAATCTCTGCAGTAAACGGGACGTTGGCATAGTGAGCACACACAGTAGCTCTTATACCTCCTCGCCTCGGGCGCCGTTCGACCTCTACATCGCATTGTGCTTCCAGGTCGCTCAGACGAGACAATAGGGATTGACCACGTTGCTAATCGGCATTATGTGCGACATTGTTCCCTGTCAACGTTCAACATTATCATGGGCGACGGGAGGATGATTGTGAGGTCGTGCAACCACGCGCCCGCCCTCTGCGCGACGGCGAGTCCGATGCGCCATCTTGTTCTATTAACGGATTTCTATTAACGGATACAAGGCTCCGACGGAAGGTCCGACCCACGGCGTAGACGACCCATGCGCTGCGTTTGCAAGCCTGACGAGCAGGCCACCCCTATGTGCGCAAGGGCAAACGAAGCCGATGTGCCCTGGCGCACAGACTAGCCACCGCGAGGACGAGCACAGAGAGGTCGACAGAGAGGAGAGGAGAGTCAGAACGATTTTGGTGAGTACATACTGGTCACCACACGTGCCACATTACGCCCCCTTCCTCCGAGTCCGCTTGGAGTCCGCTGCGCGCACGGACCCACCACGCTCTCTCGAGCCCACGCCGCCCCCTCTTTGCACATCCGCGGATCTCCCGCGTCGTCCGCCAGTGGCCACTCGCGAGAGCCGCACTGTCAAGGGGCCGGCGCGCGCGCAGCGCGCCGGCCCCCACTGGTACAGACCCCCCCGTGGGAATGCGATCGGGGGAGGTTCGGGCTACCTATTCAGGACACAGTACTATCGCCACTAAGTTACATCCATCGTCTCCCCTAGCCTCAGACCCTAGGCAGACCCTAAAGACCTCTTTGATGAAGGGCAGGGGCAATCTTCTACGCGGTTCAAAATTTACATACCTTGTAGTGGGTCAGTCAAATGTGCAGCAGTACTTGCACGTACAGTAAAACATGGACTTCGAGAATGGCATCACAGATATATACTGCTCTGCCGCAATGACTAGATTGTGTCCATTTTGAGATTAATCATAACTCTGTCTGTATACCAGAGTGAAGTATGATGGCAGTACGGAGGCGAGTATTGACAGAATGCGGCGAATGCGCTGAAGTTGTGCAGAAGATCGACAGAAGATAGTAAGAAGATAATGCGATTACGGCGCTGCCGTCCGTGTTGGGGTAGTCCGAGCCTTCCCCGATCGCGTTCCCACGGGGGGGGTCTGTACCAGTGGGGGCCGGCGCGCTGCGCGCGCGCCGGCCCCTTGCGCACTGTGCAGGCTCTGCGCGTCTGGCATCCGCCCCGCTCGTTCACCCACCTCCGTCCACTCACCGCTACCCATCTCGCACCCTGGTCAACGGAGCAACACGCGCTGGTGGCCCCCATGAATACGGGCTGTGCGGAACCACCGCGCGCCTGGTAGTCACTCCGCAACAACAAACCCGGCAGCTAGCACGCTACACAGCCACGACCACCTCGAGGCACCCAGGCGACACTCCTTTCTTCGCAGGGACGAGCCTTTGCGAGACCGCAAGCGGGAGGCCGCTAGGCGCGACAATCTCCTTAACCGCCAGCCTGAGTCTGCAGTCGGCACGGCCTCTTTGACTCGCTCCCCGAGGTGAACAGCGCAGCCAGATCCACCTCGTCCCTGGTCACACCCACCGTCAAGTGGAACGTCATGCGAGCCCCGGTTTGTAGGCATTCTTCCCTCGACATTGCCTGCAAAGCATGGCGTCGGACCCCGAGGATCCGCCCAATTGACAGCGCTAGACATGCTCGTCTCGAGGAGTAAGTGGCCCGTACTTCTCATCAATACACCCACGCGCGCTCATCATGCCGGGGCGCACCTTGTCGAAGTGCACGCTGCTCCTGCAGCTTGAGCGACGAAGGCATCATCGCGCAGAAGTATATATTTCGGTTCTCCGACTGCCGTCTCTGCTCGCGTGCGCGGACAGCGAGGGCCTCTCGGACAGGCGAGGCGGCGAGCCCCACCCACATTGTCTGTGCACTCGCCGCTGATATGCATGCGCAACAAGAGTAATACGGATATGGCGTGCGCGGTGGAGACGATGGAGCAGCAAGCTAGCGTCCTGAAGTTTAGGGTGCGGCACGTGAGTGGGATGGACGAGCGGTGAGAGTTTTAAGGGTACGTAGTTATGGTGGATGTGGAGGTCGCCTACGAGGAAGGTGGGTGATCCCTTCACAGGCTCATATGCCACCAAGTTCACCCAGCCACGCAACTGACTGCTCGCTTGCCTATAGAACGAGTACATCGAGGAGCAAATCAAACGGCATGGCAGGCGGTTAGATTCTCAACAACGAAAGCGCGTACGCACGCTTTTCATATGGGGAAGGACTCCCTCATTGTGCTCCACAGGCGCAAACGTGGTCTGCCGCTCAATTGCCTTCCTCCTTGTTCGTAAACCCGCTCGTTCACCTTCCCGCATGACTCTTTGGCCGACAACCTCTACATTGGACTACCGGAAGTTCGGACGCAGGTAGATAACTATTGTAGATTATTGCGTCGGCCTAACGTCTAATGTTGCATTGCAGCACTCCGAAATCACGCTCCTCTGTACCCTGAACCACCAAGAGTGATCGCCCGAGTGTGTGGAGTAGCTCGTAGCATCCTCTCCGCTGTCCGAAGCCGCCAGTTCGCACGCATCGAGATCGGGTGTTGGTCCGCACTCAGGATCACCGCAGCGCCAATGAGGACTTGCAACCCACGGGATCCGCAGCCGCGCGAGTTTCGACATGCTATTCAAACAGTCCCGCACGTCTCTGCGAGCCATGCACTGGCTCACATTCACTCGTATACTCGTCCGAGTCGAACACGAACCCCACGCGTGCCAAGAACACGTCCGCATAAGACAGCTTGAAACTCATCGGTATGCTACACATTCGCCGCATATCACTCTCAACTGCCGCTGACCTCGTCCGCAGGGATCGTCATTGTTATGTGGGAAATTGTCTGGTGCATATCAAAAGCGTGGATGTGCGCGTCAGTATGGAGTCGACAATGGAGCCTATGGCTGTCTAGGTATGCCAGTTCCCGTGCTCTCTCTTCAGATATCCCCACACTGACCCATGATTTTCGCTAGCTCGCCTGCGTACTCTCCACTGTCGCACACTCACTCAGTCTCGCGGCATTCTGGTTGTAAATGCGTCTGCGCAGGCGTCGCAAAGGTCTCGCTGCGCTCCCGCCGGACGCGTACGACGCATCACTCAGTCTATCGCGCTGTATATGGCGCGCGGATCGCGGAGCCGAAGGGTGCTATGCTATCCTTCTGCGCGCTCCGACTCCGTTGAGGCAGTCACCACCCTGAGCTATGAAGAGCGACCTGCCAAACACGTTCAATAGCTTAGCCGCCAGCGAGCGCGCACCGAGACCCGGGGGTGTGTCGCGCTCAAGACAGTGACAGCGCCGACGAGGATGTCAGGCCCCGTGACGCTCCCGGGGGGCTATGTCGGCGCTTCAATAGCTGGACGTACGGGAAGGGCGAACGTCTGGACGTCCGCCGATGGGGCCATTCGGGACGGAGCTCTTCGCCCAAGGGACCTGTCGCGTCGAGTTGGAGCACGTCTCAGCGATGAGCCGTGATCGGCGGTTCCATTCCGGCGTTGCCATGCACTTGGACTCCAACCCTGAGATGTACGGGAAGGGGCGGCCATCTCATCGCGTGAGAGATGAAGAAGGGTGCAGAAATCATCGTCTGTACGCCTGGCCGCATGATCGGTTTGTTGACTGCCAACTCGAGCCGTGTCACTAACCTCAAGCGTGTTGCGTACCTCGTCCTCGACGAAGCCGACCGGATGTTCGACATGGGCTTCGAACCACAGGTCATGAAGATCGTCAGCAACATCCGTCCCGACCGGCAGACCGTCCTCTTCTCCGCGACCTTCCCGAAGCAGATGGATTCGTTGGCAGGCAGGATCCTGTGGAAGCCGCTCGAGATCACGATCGGTGGCCGGTCTGTTGTTGCTCCCGAGATCGATCAGGTCGTTGAGATCAGGGACGAAGACTCCAAGTTCAACCGGCTTTTGGAGATTCTTGGGCAGACGTACAACGAGGACCCCGAATCGCGGACACTCATCTTCGTTAACTGCCAGGAGGCCGCCGGTAACCTCCTGCGCGAGCTCATGCGCAAAGGCTACCTGTGCATGTCCCTGCACGGTGGCAAGGACCAGGTGGTCCAGGTCGACCGTGACTCGACCATCGCTGACTTCAAGTCCGGTCTCGTGCCCATCGTCATTGCGACGTCTGTGGCTGCGTATGGTCTGGACGTCAAGCAGCTGAAATTGGGTATAAACTACGACGTGCCGAATCACATGGAGGATGATGTCCACCGTGCAGGTCGTACCAGGCGCGCAGGCAACAAGGGCACATGTGTTCATCACGCCCGAACAAGATAGGTACTCCATTGACATCTATCGTGCACTGAAGGCTAGTGATGCGAACATGCCCAAGGAGCTTGAGGACTTGGCGTGGTGGCGAAACTCAACTGACCGACTTTTACTGACCGTTACCGACCGTTACTTACCGTCACCGACCGTGGTCGACCGTTACTGACTGTTATCGACCGTCCTCGACCGTCACTCATCGTCACCCACCATCGCCGACTCCTTACAGCTTACCCACCACACGACCACTCACTACCTGCACGACACATGTACCTTACCCTCCACATCTTGTGGTACATCGTAGGTGTATACCAAAGCAGTGGCGACCAGTCGATGACACAATGTGCTTACGTGTCAACGTAATCACAGCGTTCGGACAGCATAGGGGTCGAATAACCGGGTGGCGGAGATTTGGTGGTTACGATGTGACACAGCCGTCACAAAATCACAGCGTTCGCACAGCATAGGGGTCGAATAACTGGGTGGCAAATATTTTGTGGTTACGATGTGACACAGCCGTCACATAGTAACATCGTATGAATCAATCTTTTATGTAGGCAATACGCGGCGATACAGTCAGCGTTGTGTTAAAGTTCTCTCAGCATTTGTTACGGACGCTACGGACAGGATTAAGACTGCGTACATAAATCTCTTCCGTGCTACGTATAATAACCGCGACCCGCATGTATTTACCGCCCGAGCCTAGATACTTACGACGCGTACTGTATTCACTTACTTTGTTCATGTCTTGTATACTTAGGCGCGCGTCTCGCCGAAGACGCGCGCTTTACTAGAATGGAAAGCAGCCTTTTACTCCCAACCACATCGTCCGCGCGCGAACTCTTCACGCCGTACGACTGCGGGATTGGCCATTAACGAGAGTGCTCGTCGCGCTCTCGTTTCGAAGGTGTTAGCTCGTCGCTGCGCCTAGGATAGGCTCGTCGCCGACTCCTTCACAGTCAGGCTCGTCGCCGACTGCCAGCGCGAGCTCAACAGCTGCGTGAACGACCTTAACGAGGACTCAACAGTCCTCGTACGACCCCTACGGGCTATACGCCTCCTTAACGACCTCACGACTTATCTTTCCATCCGCTCTGGTCGCCGAGCGACCACCACTGTTAGTCTCGTCAGGTAGCCCGCCCCCTGTGTCCAGGACTCGAACCGCCGAGCCCTAACATTGGTGGACATTCAGGGGAGCGGTCCACTACCTAGCGAACCTCTTACCTTTCCTCATCATGTCGACTCCGTCACTCCCGGCCGGTACGTCGTTCTTAGGCTACCCCGCACGCCCTACGCGCCCGACCTCTACCGTCCCTTCCGGATCGACCACTCCCTTCACGTTCATCTCTGCCCCCAGTCCCGCTACTCCGTCAGAAGCCCCGGACTCGAGACGAACGAAGAAGGCGACCTCCAGCGACCGCACGGCAACCGTCCCCGGACCTTCGTCCTTCGACCGGACGAGTGAAGTTCTTCGCTCTCCGTCGCATGCGACTGAAGCCGCGCGGTCTTCAACTCAGCCAGGACCGTTCAACAGCTTCTTCACGGGCTCCGGGAGCCGCGACAACGTGAGGAACTCCTCGCTTGACGTGCCCGCCACCCCGTACCGTGAAGATAGCAGCTCTAGCACGGCTCAGCCGGAACCGCGTACGCCCCGACGAACTGGTCCTTCTGACCCTACCAATCTGGCGACGCCCGGAGCGTCCAAGATCCACATGCCCGTACCCGACAAGCCCTCTCCGTCCATTCTTAGCGGGGTCGGGCCCCAAGCTACGTCCACGCCTTGGCGTCCTTCCTCTAAGAGCGAACGAAGCTCGCCGAGCCCACCTTCCTCTTCGGACATGCGTCAAACCGCCAAGGAAGCCGTCGACCCCGTTCATCTTCGGGATCTGCTCGACGATGCCGGCCTGTTCTTCGCCCATCTTCGCCGCCCCGAGGAAGCCCAACGTATCTACCTGAGCCTTAGCGCTCCCGATGCTCTCGACCGCTACGGTTCTCTATTTTACGAAGGCAACTACTTAGCGAACGAAGAACTCGAGACGGACGACATCCACGACTCCAAAATCGTAGAAGACAAGGAGTCCCGCTACAGCCTTCTAGTCAAACATCAACGTCGTACGGAGTACGTAGTAGAAGGGCTCGAAGTCCTCGTGAACGCCATGCTTCGATTGGAGAGTGCAACCCGTCGATGGAAGTCTGACCACGCCGACGTCTTGATGAGTGCGCTGCGCGGGTCCTCTTCAAGGGGAATGGTTTCCGACGCACACCGAACTCTTCAATACCGCGTGGCAAAAGCGCTCACCCTGATTCACCAACGACAAGCTCTACATCGCGGACATTCGTACCCTACCTCGGTCAAGTCGACGGCTTCGGACTTTAGCATGGAGCTCACCACGTCCAAGACCAAGCGCGAAATGCTCGACAAGTGGTTGAAGAAGCCCGATGTATTCCCCAACCTAACCCCGGAATACCAAGAAGTCGTACTTCGCCGGATTCAGGCCGCTCAGAACGACGAGGAGACGCCTTCACTACCTCACATCGCGTTCGAGCAACGTTTCAAGATATTACCGAACTCCCTCCTAGTGGACCCGATAGTGCACAACGCGTCCATCTCACAGGATGAGCTCGACGCATCTCTTCGATCGATGGCGTCTCCAGAAGTAGTCGAGCAAGAACTCACTCAAGGCGTCTCGTACACTACTGACGAGCCCTCTACGCGCTCTGAAGTTCCCGTACGCACTCCTCTCCCTCCGTCCAACGTCGATTCCCGCCCTCGCTACACGAATCGTTCGAGCTTCGGCAATCCTAACTTCGGTCTACCGCCCGCCCAAAATGAACCGACTCGTCATGTACAGTTCCAGGAACCCCCGCCGAAGTCTCAGCCCCACCACGTTCAGTCAATCCCGACTGCGCCTCCTGCCAACGAACGGCGGTCTTCGGGCCCTTGGAATCGAGTCGACTCAAACGCTCTTCCCGATTTCGGAGCCGCTCAAACCGTCCGGGACGCAGTATTCCCTCAAGGTCAACCTTTATCCTCCATGCACCCCCAACCAGCCTGGCGTATGGACTCTCCGTACCCAGGCTTTCAAGGGGCGCAACGCGACCTACCTCCGCACATGCCTCAAGCAACCCCTTCGGTCTCCCAAGCCCCATCTAACGCTGCCAAGGGGACCACAGACGATTACCTCCACTACTACGATGTTCCTCCTACCGGGTATGCGACGAGCGGAGGGAACGTCCCTCCCTCGACACTACCCCGAACCGAGCATCGTTTTACCGCGCTCCCCCTACCGGATACGTAGCGAGCGGAGGGAACGTCCCTCCCTCGATGCAAACCCCGAGCGGAGGGAACGTCCCTCCCTCGAGGCAATTCCCGAACCAGTCAGACCCTCCTAAGTACCCGGAGGACTCTCACGGCAACTACGGAAGGGGACCCCCATATGGCCCACCTCGAGGAAACGGTGGTGGCCCTAACATGACGGTGGTAACGATGGAGGCGGAGGCGGGGGCGGAGGCGGCGGAGGCGGCGGAGGCGGCGGTGGAGGTGGAGGTAGTGGGGAGGAGGGAGCGGGGATTCTCCTCGTCCGCCGTGGAACTGGGGCCCTTACCCTTTCCAACCTGCGGGAGGAGGACCACCAGGCGGAGACCCGCCCCCACCGGGTAGCTACGCCTACGGACAACTACCTAACGGTCAACCAGCGATTATTATTCATCATTCTCCCGCGCCTCGCGAACAAGGGGTCCGTCTCGACCAGAAGATCTCACGCGACTCAGTTCCTCAATGGGACGGGGATCTTAAAACCATCCTCGCCTACCTGCATAAGATGAACAACCTCGCCATGAAGAATATACATGTCGCGCGAGACCTAGGATCCGTCGCTCCGGACGGTTCACGGGTCAAGCTGAAAGCTGGTGGTTGGTACTGGGCTACGAGACGCAAAAGCTTTATTCGGCCAGCTGGTGGAACCTATACGAAGGAATCAAACTACAATTCTTCACCTTCAAGTTCCTTGTCGCTCTGCGCACTCAATACGACGGACAACGCTTCCGGCAGGCTGGCTACGAGAAGGAGCAGCCTCTCGACTTCATTAACAGACGAATACTCTACCATCGGCACTCACCAGCGCGCGAGAGACGCAACTTGACGAAATCGCCGCGGTCATGCAGAACGTGCCGCCGACCTGGTCCACCGTCCTGTCCCTCGACTCCATCAGTACTATCCCTGCTCTCTTGGCCAAAGTATCGGACAAGAAGGACGAGCTCATTGCGTTCGCTTCCATGGCCCCTGCAAACTCGTCCCAATACGAACAAGTGTTGAAGCTCCCTGCGACTAAGAAAGAGACCAGGTCGTTCATTCGAACGCGTCGTGCCTTCGCGGCCGACGGCTTCGGAGGAGGCTTCGAATTCGATGTGGACGGCGAGGACACTTCGACCTCCCTTCCATCGGGAACCGTAGCGAGTGAAGGATTCGCTCCTACGGGTCAAGCCGAGAACCCTGCTACGGATGCTCATGCTGCAACCGTTCAGAATCAGAAGGCATCCTCGAACAGACCTCGCGGCGCGGGACGGAAACCTCCTCGGCTGGTCCTCGATTCCCCCGGAACGATTCAGTCAAGAGCAAGCGTGCTCCGCCCGGCGATTGCAGAGTCTGCGGCAGTCCTTTCCATTGGGATAGGGACTGTCCTCACTGGAACGAATACGATATTGGACGAAACGCTTTACTCATCGGCGCGGAACACGACTGCGACGCTGAAGAGAACGAGGAATACAATCAAGCCTTCGTCGCCTATATCTGTAGTAGCTTTAACAATGCGAGACTTTCTAACGCTTTGTGGGCGGACATCCGTCGTTCTGAAGGCGAGTATCTCAAGGCTACCGTCAGCCAACGTCGCCGTACGTATGCCGTTACTATCGAAGATGAACCTGAACCGTCCATCGTCTATTCTGACTCTCTACCGCTCGACCATCCTTCCATTCTGGAGGACGCTCGCCCGACGGCGCCCCCGGAGCTAAGCTCGAAGGTATGCTGGCGGAAGCGTTGGCCGCGGATGGCTCCACCCATCACTTGTACGACCGTGAGGCCTTTGCAGGCGCAAAGTCTGCAGCGAGTGAAACGTTCGCTCCTGCAGACTCTACAGCGAGTGAAGCTTTCGCTCCTGTAGGTAATGCCGGCTGGTCTCCCCCCGAGCCGAAAATAGTGATGGTACCTCGCGTACGCGATCCGCCTGCGGGTCACTCTACGGTGGGAGTAGCTGCCTTGTCGTTCCAACTGCGGTTCGGGAGTTTATCCCACCCCTTGGTGACTTGTCGAGCAGACTCAGGAGCAGACATATCACTGGTTTCGCAGGAATATCTCGAATCGCTCCCTCTTGCCTCTCGTCCTAAGATCCGACAAGGCCTGAGAATGAATCTTTTCCAGCTCACCGGAGGGTTTCGTATCACCGGGTACGTGCAAACCCAGGTGTACGTGGAGACAGAACAAGGCATGTCCTCAAGATGGTCGCCGAGTGCTACGTCGTGCCTGGCATGTCAGCGCCGTTGCTTCTCGGCGAGGACTTCCACGTCAATTACGAATTGAGCGTCACCAGGAGCCTCGCGAACGGATCCGCAATCAAGGTTAGCGATACGGATACTCCATACCTGCCTCTTCCGCCATCGACAAGAGCGACCCCGACTCAAAATCATGACTAAGGATTCATCCGCTAGTTTCGTGAAGGCAAAGACGCATCGTAGGAGACAAGCGAACCGCATCGTGAACGGTTGAAGAGGGATAGACCTTCGGCAGTCGCTCTACAGGACGTGCGGATTTCTCCACACTCCTGCCGTTCCGTACCTATACAGGCGGATTTCAGTCACCACGATCCTGGTTCATCGAGAAGACTGTACTTGGCCAGCCCGACGGGTCCTTCCTCCTCACCACTCCTACCATCATCGACGCTAAGCACGTTTGTATCCCGATCACCAACCCCACGGACCGTCCCTACATCGTCAGACAGGGCGAACTACTTGGGCTCCTGCACGACCCCGCCCAATACTTCACACAGAGCACCCCGAGCTCGAAGCCCACGCTGCGTCCGTCCAAGCTCTCATTCGCGGCGCCTCCGAGACGTCCCATGAGGCTGAAGTCGTCGAAGAAGATCCGAACCAAGTCGAAGAGCAGTGGGGTCCTAAGACAGCGGAGCTGCCCGATCCCGAGACGTATCCGTCAAATCAACTTGAAGGAATCCTTGACATCGGGCCTGAATGGCCAGCCGATGAAAAAGACAAGTTGGTTCGCATGCTCCACGACAACCAAGCCGCATTCGCGTTCGACGGACGACTTGGCCATAATCCCGCTGCGGTCGAAGTCAAGACAGCACCGGACGCCAAACCTATCTCCCTGCCCATGTACTCCGCTTCGCCCGCTAAGCGTGATGTAATCGACAAACAACTTGACGCTTGGCTTGCGTTGGACGTCATCGAACCTTCGAACAGTCCGTGGGGGGCCCCGGTTCTCATCGCCTACCGAAACGGCAAACCACGGCTTTGTGTCGACTACCGTCGCCTGAATACCGTCACCGTGGCCGATGAATTTCCGATCCCGCGACAGAACGAAATCCTGCAAGCCCTAACCGGGGCTCAGGTGCTTACTTCCTTGGACGCTCTTTCAGGCTTCACCCAGTTGAACGTCGCCGAGAACGACAGGGAGAAGACAGCGTTCCGGTCCCACCGAGGATTGTTCCAGTTCAAACGACTTCCTTTCGGACTACGGAATGGACCGTCAGCCTTCCAACGAGTAATGCAAGGTGTTCTCGCGCCATACTTATGGCTGTTCGCGTTAGTTTACATCGACGACATCGTCGTTTACTCTCGGTCTTGGGATGAACACATCGGTCACCTCGACAAGGTCCTTAAATCTATCATAAACTCCGGCATCACCTTGTCACCGCCGAAATGCACTTTGGTTACACGTCCATCCTCTTACTCGGCCAAAAGGTGTCCCGACTAGGTTTCTCGACCCACCAAGAGAAGGTCCGGGCCGTCATGGAACTCGCACGCCCTAAACGGGTTTCGGAACTGCAAACGTTCCTTGGCATGACGGTCTACTTCGCCGCCTACATACCTTACTACTCATTCGTAGTCTCACCACTCTTCGAATTGTTGAAGAAGGACCACAAGTGGGTATGGACCGCGGAGTGCGAATCCGCCTGGCTTAACGCGAAGGAAGCCCTTCAATCTGCCCCCGTGCTCGCTCACGCGATTCCCAGCCAACCGTACCGACTATATACCGACGCCTCCGATGTAGCTCTGGGAGCGTGTCTTCAACAAGTCCAAGCCATCAAGGTCGGCGATCTGAAGGGAACTCGCACCTACGACAGACTGGCCAAGGCTTACAAGGACCGTGCTTCCATACCGGTCCTAGTTACTAAGACCTCAAGCAAGTTCAACGACTGCCCCGTTCCCTCCGCTTGGGCCTCTACATTGGATGAAACGTTCGTCCATGTGGAGCGCGTCATAGCGTACTGGAGTCGGACATGCAAGCCCGCTGAGCGCAACTACTCTGCCACTGAACGCGAAGCCCTAGCCGCCAAAGAAGGATTGATTCGTTTCCAACCGTTCATCGAAGGCGAAGAAGTCACTCTAGTCACGACCATGCCGCCCTACAATGGGCCCGTACCTACGAGAACACCAACAGACGACTAGCGGCCTGGGGGGCGGTCTTCGCGGCGTTCATGCCATACCTAGACATCGTACACCGCGCCGGACGCGTTCATTCCAACGTGGACCCACTATCTCGGCTACCCCGTCTACCACCGGACCACCAATCACCACAGGAGGATCGCTCAGTCCCCATCATTCCGGACCAAGCTACCCCGGAAGCCGCGGAAGCTGCAGCCGACCGTACTCCCGCTACAAGACTGACGGCCGCTGCGTCGGTCCACGCCTCTGGGAAACAGTGCTTGAAGCTACCCCACCGTCGACCGGATTTTCCACCGCTCACCACGACACTTTAGGCTTCAGCGTGGGGGCGGGGAGCGGGAGGTAATCTACACAGGAGATAACGATCAAGAACTCCCGGACGCCGAGAGCCAAAATAGCGTGGAAGCGGGAGGAACACCTTCCCTTCCAGGCGAGGGCAACTACGAACAAGAGGACGATCACGCGGGAAGCAGAACCAGCTGGGAAGCGGGAGGAACACCTCCCCTTGCCAGCGAAGACAACCACTATCAAGACTACGTTTACGCAGAGAGCCGAACGAGCAAGGAAGCGGGAGGAACACCTCCCCTTCCAAACGACGATAGCGAAGCCGCGGGAGGAACACCTCCCCGTCCAAGCATAAATCGTCTAGCTCACCCCGCCACGACTCAAGATCAACCGGTAACAAGTCTGACAAGTACGGAAGCGTCAGAAGATCCCAGTTACCTGTACTCACCCGACAAAGACGTCTCACTGCCGACTCTACTCATAGAGTTGAGTCCAGAGTACAAGGCCAACTTCGTTAAGGGCTACGAGAAGGACCCTTTCTTCCGAGACAAATGGAAGAAAGCCAATGAACCGGGCCTGCAGAGGTTCTCCGGACAGTGCTTCTTCACAGACGACTCGAAACTGCTGTACATCCGTACCGGCTCCGACCCCGTCAGATTATGCGTACCCAGAACTGAGGTTGTCCCCTTAATCGCTCGGTTACACGACTCTCCTTACGAGTCGGCTCACGAAGGTCCTAGGAAACTGGCCTGGAGAATCAACGAACGATTCTTTTGGCCTTCCCTCCGGAGAGACGTGCGCGACTACGCCATGTCCTGCGACGTTTGTCAGAAGATCAAGACCGACCGAAGAGCCAAAGCGGGATTGCTGCGACCTAATCCTATCCCTAACCGTCCCTTCGAATGGATCTCTTTCGATCTCATCACTGGTCTGCCGCGGTCAGACGGTTACGACGCAGTGCTAGTGGTAGTAGACCGCTGCACGAAGCATGGACTGTTCATACCTTGCGAAGGCACTCTGAACACCGTGGAGTTCGCTCACTTGTTCGTACAACACGTCGTCTATCGGTTCGGCATCCCGGAACATATCATCTGCGACCGGGACGGTCGATGGACGTCCGAGTTTTGGAGAGCGGTGGCCGCTGAGTTGGGAATTCACCTGTGCTTGTCCTCCTCGCATCACCCGCAGCACGACGGACAAACCGAAATCGTGAATCAACGCATCGAGACCATGCTGAGAGCCTACATCCAAGGAGACCGGAATACGTGGTCGCAATGGTTGCCGGCTCTCGCGCACGCTTACAACTCATCCGTTCACTCCGCTACGGGTCAAACCCCGTACTTCTTGCTCTACGGGTTCCATCCCAAGGGTTCCTTGGATTTCCTGATCAAAGACGAACGATACGTAGAACGTCCTCAACTCGCCAGCGAGCGCGCCACCGACTTTGCCATCGAAATGGAGCTCCACCGCCAACGAGCTCGTGACGCCCTAGCCATAGCTCAAGAACAGGCAGCTCGAAGCTACAACAAGGGACGAAGACCCGAAACTTTTCCGGTCGGCTCCCGAGTTCTGGTGAATCCGCACTCGCTTGAACTAGTAGACGTAAAGGGTACTGGCAAAAAGCTGGTACAACGTATGCTCGGACCCTTCCCGGTCCAAGAACAAGTCAACCCTCTGGTCTACCGACTCGCTATTCCCGACACTTACCCTATGAACCCTGTCATCAGCATCGAACATCTACGGAAGTACCGGGAACCTGACGCTTCTTACGAAGGGGTAGACCGGCCTACGCTGCCGGATCCTCGCCAATCCGACCTGCTCGCTTCCGAAGAGTACGAAGTGGAACGCATAGTAGCTTGGAGGAGAAACCGGTCAAAGAGAAACCGACTAGAGTTCCTAGTACGATGGAAACACTACGGACCCGTACACGATACTTGGGAGCCAGCAGCTCACCTTCGGAACGCGCACGAAATTCTTCGAGATTATAAGACTTCTCAAGGCCTCACTCGCTGAGAATACATGTACTAAGATTAGTAGTAGTAAATACAAGAACGACTCCTGTAGTAAAACAACCGTAGATAGTTCTCTCTCTCTTCCTTAAGAAATACCTACTTTACTTTCCTCTAATCTTCCTCTCCTACGCGTCAGCGCTTCTACCACCCACGCTGAACACGTGACCGCGACGCGGCGAGTGCAGCCACAAGTTCACTTTGAGCGCCCGCCGCGCTCTCTCTCTCCCTCTCTCTACATAACCCTTTCCACGCAAGCGAGTGAACTCTTCGCTCCTTGCTACTCTTCCATCGCCTCACCTACGCAAGCGAGTGAACTCTTCGCTCCTTGCTACTCTTCCGTCGCTCCCCCTACGCAAGCGAGTGAACTCTTCGCTCCTTGCCGCCCCGTCGAACGAGTGAACGTTTGGACTGTCCGAACTTCATCCGTTTCTTCGATCGTTGAATCCTCATCGTCTCCTTCCTTCCTGAGTACGCAGCTCGGTACAAGTATGGCCGGCCCCTCCTCGTCCAATTTCCTTCGATTCCGCGAGTCTCTCTTCCTCCCTCAAGACTATCGCGTCGCGCCTGCCCGGACCCACGCCCGCGACTCGGCTTGGACTTACTTCCAAGCGCATCTCCGGGTCCGTTCGGCGGTCGTCTTGAGTCCGGGCGTATGGGCGGTCTCGCCTAATGCTCCGTACGTGCCCTCGCTCCCTCCTCAACAGGACGCATTGGAGGAGATCTTCGCGGACGGACGTACGGGTCTCTTCGAGCCGGGCTTCCATCCCCAATACTGGGCCAGTGCGCAAGGGCACCGCGCTTTCATCTACGAAGTCCCTCCTACTGAAGAAGGCGTCGACCCCGCCTACGTAACCCTCGACGTCGCGCGCGGTAGGAGGAAGGGAACGTTCTCCGTTAAGAGCTTCCAGAACATGAGGGGAGTACCCACCCCCGAATTCTCTCGCGCGCTCCAGAACCTCTACGAGGCCGAACTCACAAGAGCGAACGACTACTTCCTCGCCGACCCTTCACCCCCTCGAGGTCTACGTCTACGTCCTGCGGATGTCCAGGACGCGCTATACCGCTTCCGCAGCTTCTCTCAAGAACTATTCCCCTTCCGGAAGGATGTAGCCCTCATCCAGCGTCATCTCCTCGAACTGCGAGGATATTCGTATAAGAGATATCTGCAACTAGTATTCGACGAGGGATACATGAGCGCGCCCGCTACCAATATCATCGGAATCGGAAGCTGGGTCGACGAGAACGAGGCGGAAGTGCTGAAACGGTTGGTTTGGTTCGGAGTCCCCGTGTGGTGCGTAACTCGCAAGCCTCCCCCATCCACCGTAGTCCAAGAGTCCCTCGCCCGCCTCGACCTCCGACTGTTACTGGAGTATTGGGACGACGAGGATCACGCGCCCAAGGCCCCCTCGAACAAGAAAAGCAGGAAGAGGTTGAGAGAAGAAGAAGATGAATTGGACAGTGCCGATGAAGACCCGGATTTCAACTACGTAAAGTTTCCGGTACCAGCGTGGAATCCCGCCTCTCCCCTTGCACCCGCCTCTGCCTCGGGAATCGAGTCAACTCTACCGGCGGCTCCTTCTTCGACGATTTTTCCCGGGGACGAAGACGCCTGGAACAATCAATCAGCGCCCGAGGCCATCGCGGAGGATCGTCCGGTTACCCCCCCTCGGAGCGGCGCGAACTCTTCGCCCCTCCGAGGTGACTCGCCGATGAGAATCTTCACAGAGGACTGCCCGGCCACACCTCCTCGGAGCGGTGCGAACTCTTCGCCCCTCCGAAGAGACTCGCCTATGGCGTTCTCCCTGCCTCCTTCGCCCGAGCCGGTTCCAACCCAGGAGCCCGAGCAAAGAAGAAGTCCCTCGCCGCCTCGTCTGACGAGCTTTGATAAGGGCAAGCAGAGGGATCCCGACCCCTCGCCGATGGTACCTCGAACTGGCAATCCTCCTGTTCTCCGAGGTCGCTCACCCTCTCCCAGGGGACGACAACGTCGACCATCTCGTTCTCGGTCTCCTCGACGTCGCCGTTCCCCTCCTCGTCCAGCGCGAGAATACGGTGGTTCGCGCCCGTACGATAACACTCCTCGCCGCTCCCCTCCTCGCCACTCCTACCGCGACCGTTCGCCTCGACGTGACTGGAGAGCCGGCGACTCCTACCGACCGGACGCCAGCTCAAGCGTCCTCGCTCTCCTCCCCGCCTCATGCCTCGACGATTCCCCGGCCGAAGGACAGCAGAGCGAGAGGATAGAGGACGAAGCCTGCGAGGACAGAGTCTGGTCGCCGTCATTCGCCCACGTTCGCCCCGCCTATCGCTCCGCCGGCCCCTTCCTTGATTAACCGAATAGAGCAACCCTCGCCGGTCAAGCCTACGTGTTCGCTTGCGGACCGTCTAGAGAGCAGCCTACCGGGGATCGCCTTCCCCGAAGCTCCCCCTGCGGAACGACAGTCCGCTCGTCCCCTTCTCGACAGATTCGAAGAGCCGCGCTCGCTCTTCGCGCGTGTAGGCGTCCCTCTTGGAGAAAGGTTGACCAACTCTCGGACGGCGTCAGCTCGACTAGGGAGCAGATCCCCAGAGATCCCACTCCCCCGGACGACTTCCACGTCATCACGCTCTCTTCGGGAGTACCGGTCAGGACCAAGTTGCCTCTCTTCACGGCTAACGAGGTCGACGACTTCCTTCGACGCCCCTTCGAGGACGATACGAGCATCTCCGTGGGACGTCTAGCTTGGGAACACGACCGGGGTCCGGAACCGCAGCTCCCTCCGGAGAATGCGCATCTCATGCCGTTCCCTTCTGTCTTGCGGATGGAGGGTGACGACGGGTACATTGCGATTCTTCGGTGGTTGAAGACGCGTCAAACTCATGTCGACGCCCTGCACAAGCTCCGGGAACTTGGGTCCCCACCAAGCACAAGGGCTGGAAGAATCGTCTCAAGGCCCCTCAACATCTGCAGGCGGCACTTGAGAGGTCCAACGTACGTCCGCTCTCGGACAAAGAGGTCCACCCTCTGCGCAATCCAACGCCGGGGGAAGTCGACCGGGAAGTATGGGAGTTGGGGACCTATCACTTCCGACTCAACGTGGAACGGTTGGTGGTCGGCCGACTCCCAGCATTGAGGAACGCGACCTCGAGTGAAGCTCGCGGAGTCCTATGGGCGGAAGTGCGCGACCGTCTACGACGAGCCTGGGGGCGAACTCATCGTACTACCCTAACTTCTCCGAGCCGCGCTGCCTCGATAGCGACGACGACGTGATTCGCCTCAAACACTGGTACGCGTTGGGAAGGATTCTCTTAGAGTTGGAGCCACGGTCAGACATCGCTCAAGACTTGCGAGCCGCGGTGGGGGCTCTGTTACGGACGCTACGGACAGGATTAAGACTGTGTACATAAATCTCTTCCGTGCTACGTATAATAACCGCGACCCGCATGTATTTACCGCCCGAGCCTAGATACTTACGACGCGTACTGTATTCACTTACTTGTTCATGTCTTGTATACTTAGGCGCGCGTCTCGCCGAAGACGCGCGCTTTACTAGAATGGAAAGCAGCCTTTTACTCCCAACCACATCGTCCGCGCGCGAACTCTTCACGCCGTACACTGCGGGATTGGCCATTAACGAGAGTGCTCGTCGCGCTCTCGTTTCGAAGGTGTTAGCTCGTCGCTGCACCTAGGATAGGCTCGTCGCCGACTCCTTCACGGTCAGGCTCGTCGCCGACTGCCAGCGCGAGCTCAACAGCTGCGTGAACGACCTTAACGAGGACTCAACAGTCCTCGTACGACCTCTACGGGCTATACGCCTCCTTAACGACCTCACGACTTATCTTTCCATCCGCTCTGGTCGCCGAGCGACCACCACTGTTAGTTTCGTCAGGTAGCCCGCCCCCTGTGTCCAGGACTCGAACCGCCGAGCCCTAACACCGCTGCGGGCCCGGATCGGGTAATGCAATCGTGATTTGTGATCTGACGGTTTCTGGGCCTAGATACACTGCCGTTTATAGTGATTTATGCACCGTGCCTAGATACCCTGTATCGAGATCCAGCAGATGGACAGCATGTATGTCGTGCGCCACGACATACACCTAGTAGGAATACATTCATTGCAATGCCAATTGTGACTTACTGCTTCAACTTCAAGCCTTGATGCAGTTCGTGGACACTGTAAGTAAAGGGCCAAGGGATCAAGCGGCAGCCTTCCCGATTTGGTATGTTTGAGGCCGCGACAAATTATCCCGCTGTGACAAATGCGGTGGCTATAGTGCTTCATTATTCGTGCATAATATCGACATTGGGGAGTATACTAAGCACTATGTAATAGGCAGACAAGATCACCGTCATTCCCCTGTCCTTCACCTGCCTGTTCGTTACCCCGCGCAAGCTCAGCCTCGACGTCCTCCGCATGTTTCGTCCTGCAGTTGCGCTCCTCCACGCCCTCCACAACGTGTTCAGGGACTTGCAGCATCCCACAGCTGAGCCGCACGGAGGTCGAGCTCGCGCGCGTGGCGAGCAACTCCATGTGCGGGACAACGAAGAGGTCGTGGATGGTGGGCATGTGCGTACCGCAGCAGCTGGGATGGCGGATAGTTTGGTGGCGGTCTTTGAGAAGAGGAGGAGGGGGCGTACGGGCTGCGGTCGATGCCATCGATGACGACGGTGTGCATGATGCTGCGTGTGTAGTCCGCAGGGAGGGTCTTCCCGATGTTGCGCCCGTTGTGAAGTGTCTCCTGATCGGGGCTGTTCTCGCTGTGCAGTTCTACCTCAACGTGCACGCTGCAGCCCTTCAAGTCGAGTCGGTTAGCTTCCTCCTTACACGGATGCAGTCCATGCTTACTATGCTGCGAGATGTCTCGATGTAAGTAGCTGGGCATTGGCCATGCCGACGCGCCATTCGCATGTGCTCATTGACGCCATCGGACGTACTTGTTGAGTCTTGATGTGTGATTCGGCGAGTGGCAAGGAAGGGACACGGGAACAGGATAAGAGGCAAGAGGGTGCGCCTGGGTAGAGGGTAGAAGGACGGATGTAGCACCTTGTAGATCGCACGCGCAAGAGGTGAGTTTTGCGGGCGCCCCCGTGAATCGAACATTTGTGTCTATTTGTTTCCTAACCAAATTGGGCAAACCCGATGTGCTCGGACTGTTTCTGGCCAATCAGGACGCGAATAACGGTCCCCCCTAGAGCTGCAACATACCTACGATTCGCTTTCTGGACGTTATTACACTATGTCCGCATGTCTAAGGTATGTCTAAGGGATCTAATTCATGTTTAGTGGCATCTACTTCAATAGATGAGTACAGCATAAAAGGCCAGGGTTCTCGTGAGTCGTGTACAGTAGGGGTGTCTATCTACACTACTTCTGTACTGGTTCTCTTAGTCTCGAGTCGTAAGGGGTGTTGTGGTGTGAATATATCAGTCTCAGTTTTATAGGGTATATTCATACTACCATTACAAGAACTCTATCTACGAGGACGTCTGCTGTATCTGCATGTAGGGGCACCAGGGCAGTCGCCCTCTGTGTTCGCAATTGGCGTGTTGCGCGCCCCAGCCCTGCCCACCGTCGCGGTCACCCGCTTTTCGCTCACGCGCCCACCTTACGGTCGTTGGCCGTGCTTGCCTGCTGGGCATTCGCCCTGCACGCTCGCAGTCACCGTGCGTGTGGTGCTGGTCCGCGCTCTGTGCCCGCCTGCTTGCCCTCTCGCCTGCTTTCCCTCTCACCCGCTTGCCCTCTTGCCCAACCACCCGCTGTCCTGCTCACCCGCTTTTCCGCTTGCCCGCTTGCTCGCCTGCTTGCTCACTCACCTACTTACCTGCTCGTCCGCTTGTCTGCCCACCCGCCTGCCCGTCCGTCTGCCCGTTCGCCCTCGCCCGTCCCCGCTCGCCCGTCCGCCCGCTCGCCCGTCCGCCCGCCCGCTCGTCCGCCTACCCTCCGCTCGTCCATTTGCTCACCTGCCTGCGCGCCCATTTGCGTGCCCGTGTGTATCCGTCGGCTGTGTCTGCGTGCTGGGCATTCGCCCAGCACACTCGCAGTGGGCGTGTGCTGTCGCCTGTCCACTTGCCTGTCCTCGTTGTGGTGATGGCGAGTCCCCGGTGCGTGGACGACGCGGAAAGGGAATTTGGTATCGGTGAAAACGATGGGCGGGGTCGTTGGTACAAGTTGACGGTTGGCGGAGGAAGCGAGCGAGGTCTGTGGTACCTCGCGGAAGGGAAAGGGAGATGGGGCGCCGCACGCTTCGTTCGCGATGTCTTTTAGTGAAGACTGCCTTTCCTGAGCCTGGTATACTCGATAGCCTTCCCTCCGACGTTCCTAACCTGAGCTCTCCTCGATCCTGAGCCTGAGCCTAACTTCTGCGACCTTCCTTAGCCTGAACGCGAGCCTGAGACGAGACCTGAAGCCTGAGATTGCCCGGTGCAACCTAGATACTGAGTCCTGAGAGGTGGTGGTAGGTAACTAACTCCCCTTTTCCTCCGTCTCCCCCTCTAAGTCTCCCTCCGCCGCTGTTTCCCATGTCCCACCCTCGCTGGCATCCGTTTCTCTCCTTTCCCGTTCCTTCCGCACCCGCCTCGTCTCCTTCCGACACCTCCCCGTACCCTCCTCCAGCTTCTTCCGCTTCCTCCGCCAGGCCCTCAGTGCTCCCCACCGTCTCCGATGCCCGTCGATGCTCCCCCAAACCCGTCCACCATCGTCTTCACCACCCGGTTCTACCGCCTCATCGATCTTCTCCGCGACGAGCGTGTAGTAGAGCCTCGCCTGAACCCCGATAGTGACCGCGAATGGCTTGCCTGGGCCCATGGAGCTCGATGGTTAATCGTGCGTCCTTTTTCCTCCGTCCTGATTCCCGATCGTCCTTCTAAGCGGCCGTTCTCCCCGCGCAGCGAATGCTCTTCGACTCTCGTTCCCGTGCAGTGGCCCACGGCGATGCTTCCCTTCCGCTCGTCCGCCGCTACCCTGACGTGCAGGAGCTGATCGAGTATCTCGACCAGGTCTTCCTCACTCTTCCGTCGCAGCATAGCTATGTCGGCGAGCCTTTCCCTCTGATTGCCTGGGCCCCGAACCGAGTCACCGCCGAGCAAGCCGACGCAGAGATTGGCCGTCCCCTCCTTCCGGTTCGCTACTTAGAGCGTCCCTTACAGCTCTCGTCCTATCGTGCTTCTTCCGACAGCCTCGACGGCCTCCTTAGTCGGTTTCAGGGCCTCCTTGATGAGTGCCGCACCGCTAACCGTGACGCTCGTTCCGAGGCTGTCCATATCGCCCGAGGCCTAAATTCTGTTGAGGCCAGCGTCCGCGACTTGCACGTTCGCTTATCGGAGGGAGTGTACGTTCCCGACGGCTACTCCGGGATACCGCGTCGCCTGCGGTTCGCGCACCCTCAGGACTTCGAGGCGATGGAGGAGGGAGAGGTCGAGGATGAGGTGCCGGAGGGACCTGTGTTCATGTACAGTAGCTGTCTTCAATCCGCAGTTTTACTTGGTCGTCCTTCGCCGAGGCGTTTTTCCTCCAATCGACGTTGCTTCGTTCCGCGTTGTCCTACACCTGAGAGTGCGTCGTTCCGAGCTCGTACTGGTGCTCCCATGTGGGCCCACCCCACATCTACCCCCACCTTGAAATTCTGACCGTCCTCGGTCAGACTCCTCCCCTTCCTAATCCAGCGCGCCTCCGCTGCCCTTAGGATTGTCCTAAGTCCTAAGTGATCGGTGATCGGCCGCGCGCCTCCGCCCATCTCGCTTCTCCAGCGCTCCGCCCGACGCGTTGATTGGCTGGGATCGCAGCCTGATCGGGCAATCTCCTTCCGATCAGTGTGGCTAGGCCTCCCCTCTTCCGCGTATAAGACCTGCTGCGGCTTGTGCTTCTCCCTTCCGTCTTTCGTCTCGCTCCCTTCTTCCCCTCACCAGCTATGTCTCGCCCTTCCCCGTCTCCCTCCGCTACCTTGGACTTCACCGCCGGGCTCCCTGACGAGGACTATCCGACCCGCCTCGCCGCCTCGCCGAACTGGTCGCCCTTGAGGCGCGAATCAGCATTGTCGCCGCTCGCCAACCGACCATGGGTCGCCACCCATCGCACGCGCAAGCGGGTGCGTGGTTGGTCTGGGTGTCAGTTGTGTTACGCCTGGGTAAGCGGCCCCGTCCCCCTCCTTCCCTCCTCCGCACCTAACGGATGTCATAGGCCGTGTACGACGTGCACCTCGACTACGTCCTCACGCACGGGCTGTTCGAGACGCGGTTGCGTCCCGAAACCGAGGCCGCCCTGGACGAGTTCTGGGAGCGACTGGAAGGCTTTGCCAGCCAACCATCCCGGTACCAGGGCCCCCTCCAGACCCTCCAGCGCGAGGCCCAGCTGCGTGGCCGCGGTATGGGTCAACCGGCTACTGGGCCGGCACCACGTTCGAGATTTCCCCGGCTGTCCTCGCCCCTTCGCGCCGCCCCGCCTCTCGTGCTCCATCCCCGTCACCAGTCCCTCATCCGTCCCCTCTCCCCGCCACGCCGCACACCTGTCTCCCCTCCCCGAGCCTCCCCGGTCGCCGCCCCGAACCTCGACCTCTGTCCCCTCTCGAGTACGACGAGCCGATGGTGCGTCAGTCTCCCGTCTCCGAGCCTCCCCGGTCGCCGGCCCACGAACCTCAACTTCCGTCCTCCCTCGAGTATGACGAGCCGATGCCTGAGCCCGCGGCCTGGAACAGTCCTGTTCCCCGCCCACCGTGCATCTCGCGGCCCTTGAGGACGTTCCGGCGCCTGAGCCCACCCTTTCCGTGGCTGGGCCGTTCGGGTTCCCTTTCCCTGAGCCGGCTCCCTCCGCCCCGGCCGCTTATGCCCGCGCGTCCTCGCTCGCGTTCACCGAGCGGGACCCTTCCGTCCCTCCTCCCGTGCCGCGGCCGTTCGCCGCCACCCTCCTCTTCGCCTCTGTTCACTGAGAGAGGCACGCCCGTCGCCCCCTTCCTCTGTTCGCGCCATCGCCCTCACCTCCCATCGCGCCGTCCATACCATCTCCTCCCCCGGGCCTCCGCGCGGCACCGCCCTGTCTCGCGCGCCACCGACTCCCCCTCCGATCGACACCATCGAGGATGACGCCCTGGAGCGGTCCATGTCGCCTCGCGCGTTGGAAGAGGCGATTTTCGCCAGCAACATCGGGACCCGGCTCTACCGCCCACCCAGCCGTCCCCTCCTCCCGCTCCTCGCCCGTCTCGCCCGATGCCGCGTCCCTCCCTCAAGCTTCCCACCGCGGAGGCGCTCCGGCCTCCCCCTTCGCCGACAATCCTCCTTCCGTCCCCCGCCTCCCCGACAAGTTCCCTCCGGTGCCGCAGCGCACTTCCAATGCCGAGCGCCCGCGGTACGGGCCCTACGTGTACTCCCGACCACCCTTGCCCTGAGTGCCGTCGAAATCGCTTCCGGTGCCGCATCGACGCCCTTCCGGGCCACGCATGCGCCGCGTGTAGTTCCCGGAAGAAGAGGTGCGCGTTCAGTGCCTTTAGTGAGTCCCTTTCGCCTCCCCGCCTCCGTCCTTGCTGACTTATCTCCTCTTTCCAGAGGAAGGGGCCAAGCTTCTTCTAATAGGCCACCATCCCGACCTCCCTCAGTCCGCCCTCGCCTCTTACGACTGGGTAACCACCCCAGGAGGCACCCTCGTCGGTCCCCGTCCTTCGGATATCCGAGCCGACTTCCCCTTCCGCGGTGCTCCAGCGCCGCCTACTCGACCTCCCGCCCTTCTGCATCCCCGAGCCGGTCGCTGGTCCCTCGCAGCCTCCACCCGCTCCCTTGGCCGCGCCGCCGCTCCTCCTCGCCTCCGAACCGTCCAAGATCGACTCGATTGGATGGCCAGCCGGTCTGGGAAGTCCGGCAATTCTTCCGCCGCCCCGGTATGCTCGGCGCCCCGAATCCCCGACCCAGAAGATGAGCACGACGAGCTGGAGGAAGATGTCGAAATGGAAGGTCCGGGAGCCTGAGCGTGAGTTTGAGTCGGAGGAGGGCCAGTAGGTAGTGTAATTGCCGCAGTAGTCTCTCCCCCGATGTACCTCCCTCCGTCCCAAGTCCGCAATTGTACAATGTATCCTGCTTACCCCGAGCCCCGCTGACCGCGCCTGTCGTCCACCCGTGTGATA